TTCCCTGGGCTAACCATCACCCCTGCATTGCTTTGACCTCCTCCGAGTTGACTGTAAGTTTCCTGAGTCTGCATCTGTCTCCTGTTCATGACTGTCTATGGCCCTTGATAAAGGGCTCATAGCCTACATGAAATACTTGAGTGAATGCATGAATGAATGAATGAATGAGTAACTGACTAATAAATGAATGGAGAAAGATCAGTGTGTGGGCAGGTCTCTGTTCACCCAGGATAGCTGGGAAATGGCCCAATTCATTCATCCAAGTCACCCTACAGCATAGGGTGCCAATTTTCTGATACTGAGAATACAATGACTTGGCCCTTAGACTAAAACAAGTCAGTTGGATTCCATCTGGCTGTTCTTGGCCAGAATGTAAGGCACACATGGAGAGTTTCAGCTGGGGAACTTCAGGCCCATCTCGCTGTGTAGGCTGGTAGAGCAAGCCCTGGTCTGGCCTCCTTGTGCCTCATGTCCTGAAGGCAGCTACTCCCCTGCCGTGCCAGCCAGGAGGGGCCAGTGCATGAAACAGCATCAAGAGGCAAAACACCATCATCCATAGGTGGGATCTCGGCTCCCTGTTCTATCAGGATATGGAGCAGGGAGTTAGGCTAGATCAGCTCTGACTTCCATGCTTAGGTCACTCTGCCTGGGGCCTCCTTTTTCTCACCTGTGAAGTGGGGCAAATGTTCCTACTCTGCTGCCTTTGTGGAGCTCTGTGAGGCTCTGATGATTACTGCATAAGAAGATGCTTAAGTGTTAATGTGGGACCACCTATCACTGCTGTACGTGCACTCATCCATGAGGAGTATGTCCCTCCTGTTCTTAAAGACTTCCCCAGCCGTCAGATTGATGGTTCAGGGAGCTGACTGTCTGCAAAGTGAGTTAAGAAGCAGCTCCAGGCTTAGGGCTGAGTTCACACTGACTTCTCTGGCTACACAATCTGCTGCTAAGTGGCCTGAGCATTCTGTTACCCTCTGTCCAGCTGCAGCAGGACAGTGGTGGTGCTGCTGACATTTGCATAACACCTATGTAGAGCAGATTCATATGGACTCATCCTCATGGTCACTTCTGATGGTCTCTTCTTAGCCAATAAGGAAGTTGAGGTTTTGAGAGGTTAATTTGATTTGTCCAACATCTAATAGTAAGCAGTCAGCTAGACTTTAGACACAGTCCTTCTGAAATTTGGGTGGATGAGTGAATAGATGGTGTTCAGCTAAGTAGTCAGATGGATGGGTGGCTAGATGATGGATGATGGCTGGATAGATATGTAGGAGAATAGTTGGTGGGTAAATGGGTGGATGATAGATGTATGGATGGATGTGTGTGTGGGTGTGTAGGAGGACAGATGGTGAATGAGTGGTTGGCTGGATGGAAGAATGGAAAATGGATGGATGATGGATGGGTGGATGGGATTTATCAATAGATATGTAAGTGAATGGACGATGGGTAGATGATAGAGGCATGCATGCATGCATTGATATATAGGTGCATGGATGGAGGGTGAGTGGTTGGATAGATGAATAGATGGATGGGTGGATGGACAGATGGACAGATGGATGGACAGATGGATGATGGGTGGATGAGTTTGGTAGGTGAGTATCAGGGTAAATAGATGGTGGATGGATGGATGGATGGGTGGATGGGTGGATGGATGATAGATGGGTAAATGAGTGGGTAGGTAGATAGGAAGGTGAATAGATGGTGGATGATGAGTAGATGCATGTATCCATGCATGCATGCATGCATGCATATATAGGTGAGTTTATGGTGATTGGGTAGATGCATGGATGAGTGGATGGGTGGAAAATAGGTATATGAGTATGTGGATGGAGGTCTAGGTGGGTAATGGAGGGGAGTTGAGAAGTAGTTTTCTAGCCCTCTTGATAATGGACTTTAGTAGATACTATCTCTCATGTTGACTATTGTTACAGACATACAGGGAGGTCCCTGGCAGCAACTGCTATCAAGTGGAGGTCCTCCAAAAAGGAGGGTTCCCATTAGATCCTCAAACTCTAGATTTGAACAGCTAATGCTTCACCGATATAGCAGCTATGAGTCCACCCTGTGGCCCCAGGTTTGTGGCACATCCTGTGCCCTGCCCAGCCACCAGATGCACTGTCCATCTTTTCTCTGGACTTTAATCCATCTTCCTCCCTATGGGAGAAGCTTCCATGCCTCATCTTGTTCCTCTCTGAGTCAACCCCTCTCCTGGTGCTTGGGCGGTGACCATGGGGCTTGGCCGACCTGCTCATCTCTTCAACCCCCAGTATCTGCTGCAGATGCACCACCTCTCAGAGAACCCATGCAGCCTGGCTAACAGCAGGACCCACCTGTGCTGTCACTAGGACACATGGGGTTTAATGCTTCAGGTATTTCTGAGTTTCCATATTGCACCCCAGCCAGCCAGGAGAGGGGCTTTGAGATAATGTGTTCCAGCCACTGCCATTTTCGCCAGTATGCTGGGCAAGCATGAAGTCCATAACCACCATCAGTGCTGCGATGACAGAGCCAGCTAGGAGCTGAGCTTTTTATCCCCCATGCATTCTCCCAGCAGCCTCCTGCAGTGTGCACCACCCCCACTGCCATACATTTCATAAATGAGACAATGAAGGCTCAGAGAGGTAAAGCAACTTCCTCAAGATCACACAGCTGAGGGAAGATCAGCCAAGGAGTGAAAGGCAGCTAAGTACCTGCAGAGCCCCTACTTATGGCCAATAAGTTTTTTTGCCACCTAAGTTTATTGCCACCTCCATTGCTCTAGGCGGATGTGGACAGGTACATTCAGGGTGGTCCAACTGTCCTATATATGTTAGAGGAGAACCCAAAGAGACAGTGCGGTACCTGGTGGGGAAATTCTTGCCTCTCCCCACTCTTCAGGTCTGGGTACTGCGCTAAACGTGGCCTGGCTCACACTGAGTTGAGGCAAGTTGAATGA